AAAGGAAGACTCCTTCTTAATTAGAGCATTTAAAAGTCGACTTTTGAATAAAAAGCTTAACAATCTGCTCCCGTTCTGTTGTTGATTGTCGTCTGTCGTTTTTTGTGGTTTTTATCAATTTAGTTGTTATGTTATTGGGCTATTTGAGGTTACCAAAGCCGAAGCAGAAGGACCCATAAATTATGACGACTGTCAGTGGATGATTGCAATTGCGTTAGCGATTACGACGAGGTTGTCGATTACCAACTGGCGTTAAAATGTTGTATCAGCTTTTATAAATTTCGTATGGACTTTCACGCCTGATATTTTTGCTACTCATTCCCATGTTCAGATATTTAATTAATGTTTAAATAAACCCAACAGAGGTGGCTTCTTCGCATTTCGCCTCGAGTGATTTGTGGATCAAAAAATAAACTGTGAGAAAATTGGAAAAACATCAGACGATCTGCGGAGTGGTTGTGCCACTTATGTTTGATTAAAATTTGTATAATTTATGATGGCTAACCAAAGTTGAACTTGTCTGTAAATTGTACAATTTTATGCTTGATTTGTCATGGCCGAGTGGGATTTGTTTTGGTCTAAATGAGGCTGATATATTTTTTTTTCCATCAATTTTGGCATCGATTCTTCTGGCTTAAAGTTGAGCAGCTCAGTCTGCCTTGCAACTGTCATCAAATTGCACTCAGCTGGTCATTATTTACAGCTTTGTGCTAATAGTTGCCTTTATTCAGCAGATGCTTTTTTCTCCATCTTACCGAGTTGGCTAATTTACATATAAATTAAAACTAGAAAAAGTAAGATAAGTACACACACACACATGAAGGTCCTTGGCTGGCAGTTTGTTAACCTCAGCTCGTCTCATTCTTGGTTTTTGGTATTAGTTGTCTGGGTTTCTCAGGCTTTTCAAGTCGCCCGCCCCGAAATTCCATACGAAATTTCATAAATGCCTGGCAATAAGCGACCCAAAGCGGCAGGATAAATCCCAGCTAGGAGGATGTCATGTAAAAAAGTCGAGCCACATATGCGACACTTTGCTGCACATGTCCTGCCACAGGACAAAAGGCATCCCGGGCCACAAAAAACCGCAAAATGCTTAAATGTCTTTGATGGCTGGATCTCGAACATTCACAACCTTCTACCCCAACTTGGTTACCAATTTTAGTTTTCGGTTTGGCATTTTGTGCGCTCCAAAGAATTTGAACGGTTCAAATCCGAAATATTTTCCCTGTTCAAATTTTAGTCTATACATTTTACAACTAACATACCATTCCTCAACCTCTTTGATCTGCGAGCCGATTGATATATCAGATCATTAATTATAGTTGATTTCGAACTTTTTCCAATCTCTCTTGGGTTTTTTATTCGGCGCCTACTTTCTTGGCATATTATTTGTTCAATTTCACGGTGTACATACTTAGTAATAGTTTGTTATGTTCTCTGGTTTCGATTCGCTTTGGCCACTCAGCTGAAAACATTTGAATTATCATTTTGTGGCACTGCCTAATGATGATTGTTTCGCATTTAATTGGTTTTTCATTCGGTTGGTGGCATGACTGGCAAAATAAATACGTAGTTTCAGAAGTTGTAGAGAATTGTATTGATCACTGTAATGATGGATACTCGATTTTTTTCGGTTTTAAATGATGTTAGTTCCACTTTTACAATTTTTTACAATGTATTTTTTTAACTCGAAATGATTTCAAAGTATTTCGGTATTCCCATCAATAGAATTTTAATAAAACTGAACTTGAGATGTATTTATATAAATATATTGTTCATACGTCTTTACCCTTTTCAATATGCCAATCCCATTCACTCTTCCATTTTATCCACTTTACCACAAGCCATTACTACATATCATCATTTCATCTTTAAGCAAATCGAATCCTAAGCCACTCTAATGGATTCCAAAACCCGGCCAAGAACATGGATTGTATATTTCAGTGGACCCAATCACCAACCCCACAGCCCTAGAATACCATCTAATTGCCATAATCCATTTATAAGGTAACATAGTCGCACAATGCACAACAACGACCCGGGAAAAACTGTGAGGAAAAGCGAAGGAAAAAAGGAAAAACAAACAAAATAAGCCAGACAACAGCCAAAGTAAAAAAGTCGGTTGTTGCAATATGACAAGGCTAGTAAATAAATAAGGCGGACAGCCCCCAGAAGTCAGAACCCCCGTCGCCTGCAGTAAAATGATACAAAGAAATGCGAGACGACTTTTCAGTACGATTCCCCGACGTTCGGGGAAAATCCTTTTTATTAGTGCGATAAAAGCCGGCGAAATATGGAAAAAATTCTGGGGAAAACGAACCAAGGAAAACGAACACAACCTGCAAGCAAAATTTGCATTGCCTACTTGGCGGCGTCTTTTATTTATGAATTTCTTGTCCGCTTTTCCGTACGGGGAAAAGCTGCGCTTATTATAATTTCCTTTTGTACATTAGCCAGCCAGCCAAGCAACAACCCCCGAACCCTCACCCAAACCCCTCGCCGTCTGCTACCCACTGTGCACAGTGGGCCTAATGGATGTTTGCTGTCGCAACTCGATGCTCGTTTTTTACGATTTGTAAGTGCAATCAGTTGTACAAATGCAAATCTCCCATTGGGTTTTTTTTTGTGTTTTTTTTCCAAGGCTCAAAGTCAACTAAGTCGTTTAATTTTGTATAATAAGATTTCGCGGTATTTCCCCGCACGTGTTGCTTTAATAATCCGGCATCAACCACCCGAACAAATTACCCTAAAAATCTCAAGAATTTTCTACGCATTTTTTTCGCTTTTTTACTCCCATTTGGTTGGACTTTTCTTGCCAGAGAGTTTCAGTTTCAATTTGGGCTTATTACTTTGATTTGTGTGTTTATCTTTTAAATTTTTATTAGCAAACAAGTTTGCTTTATGTTTTGGGTAGAGAAAAATATGTAAATGAGCGGAAATGATGGAAAATAAATATCCGCTTACAATTAGAAATGAGTCGAGGCCCGAACATCTGTTGTTAAAATTGCAATTTAATCGCAGGAATTTTCGATTTTCAGTTAATAGCCAGAGTACAGCTGTCAATTTGAAGCATTTGGTAAATAGAGACAAAAGTTATAGACTGATAAAGCGATGTTTGCAGTGTTGTAGCTAGATTTGTCAACTCATGGGTGTGTTTACCTTTGGCTAAATATCGAAACATGTGTGGAATCCAGAGCTTATCATGTGCTACTCCTATCTGCCACCCACATTTCCACCCACTCTTCGGCGAGTGTCAATAAAATAATGCAATATATGTGTCTGGGCGAGAAATCTCTTGGTTCCACAATAGTTCTCTGGTTAGTGTGAATTTGCTTCCGCAACAAAGTCGCCTTTGCTGAGCCTTTTGAAGTTGGCCGACTCGAGCGGGGCTTTCAATTAGCTTTACACCTTTCCCGACATCCAAGTTAGGTCGCCAAGAGCCCGCACACAAAGCCCGTTGAGAATTGAGTTCCAAAGAAACAGAAATACGAGATAATCGTCAGGGATGAGAACGTGACACTGAGAATGCGACCGTGACAGGTGAAAAAAAATCAAAAGAATCAGTACTGCTACAACATTGTTCACACGATCAACTAATTATAAAAATCGAACAATTATTATAGAAGTTATTAGGAAATTAAGTTTAACATGGACAATGACGTCATCGCTAGAAGATAAGATAAGATTAACACCAGATGGCGACTAATTAGCAGCGCCAAAAAAATTGCAAGTGACATCATCTTTTGGTGGTATATTTGTTTTGAATTTGCGCTCAACTACATCATTACTTTTTGTTTTAAGTTTTTTTTCTTGAGATTTAATCAATACAATTTGAGAACTACACTTTCTTGTATTAGTAAATTTATTATTTAAATAAAGATTACTCTAGAATCGACTCACGCTGCCACTTCTACGATATTTTGTTTCTACCGTGTTCATTTATTGATCGTTAAAAATGATTTAGACCTGACAATGAGACATTGTTAAGGGCGACGAGGAGCTCGTAAAATTCTGCGGTTTTTTCGGTTCTGTTTGGCTCTTTCCTGACCAGCAATTTGCAGTTGAAAAATAAGATAAAGTAAACCAGAAAAATACTCAAATTAAATAATTTTTGTTATTGTTTGCCATAGAGCTACTGTTCTCTCTCGTTTTGCGGTTTCTGCGGCCGGCAACTTGTTGCTGGCAACATATATGGCTGTCTGTGCCTCCTAAAATCCCCAATATGTTGCCGACGGGTAAAGAGACAACAAATTAATGTTGTCGAAACACGAGAAAACCTTGTAAACTGTCGACCGTTGAGGTAGAAACCCTTTTTGATTTTTGGCAAGGCCTAAGACCCGTAGAAGAATCGCTGGGAAAGAAGCTTCAGAAGGAAGCTCTGCACGCACGGCAACAACAACAACAACAACGACTTCTCTTGGCGGCTTTCGACTTTGGCCTTTTTGCATGTAGACCTGGTTTGGTTGTTGCTGCATTTGTTGCACGCTTAAATGTCTTCTAAGTGGCGTAAATCTTAAATTGTTGCCCCAGGCCTTTTGGCTCATTCGCTTTTTATGGTTTCAGGACTTTGATTTGCCTTGGCAATCGTCGCAGATTTTGGGGATTAGTTTTAGTCGGTGATTTGGCCGAGTTTTTGCAGCTCTTTCCTTTTTTTCAACGGTTCTGCTTTTATTTGGTATGCAAATTTTTAAGAGTCTGTGTTCAACTTTTTAAAAAATTCATTTAATTATGTTTTTGGCCAGACTTGGCTTGGCTAGTTTTTTTAGTTGCACATACTCGACTTCATATAAACATTTAAATAATTATTAAATAAATTGAGTGTCTTTAAAGTTATACGGTCTAAAACTCTCTTAAATTTTTTTACAGCCAAAGTTTTGCACTAAATTGTAAAACACCTAGTACGTACTTAATACAAGCTTTGCAGAAAACTATAAAATATTTCCTTGGGGAAGAAAAAAATTATATATTTATATATTTAAAAGAAAACACAATGAAACACAAAGTTTTGAAAATTATTTATTTACTTTAGATGTTAACCATCTATTTATTTATTTTTTATTTTTTGGTCCACGGTCCCGGCGGCCTTTGAAAGGCTTAAATAAGAAAGAAGTTGTTATATACATATATCCTCCGTCAGTTTTAAAAAACTAACCCAAGCAAATCAATAAAATGATTGGAATTTTCATGATGCTGTTCAGATCTCTAGATTTCCCAAGTGAATAAATAATAGCTGTAAGTGCTAGGCTTATATACAGGCATTTCGCAGAACTTATAATAATTATATAAATGCTGCGAAATTTCGCATTAAGTGAGAAACCATTCCTAATGACGTAAGATATTAACAATAATTAATTGGCCACAGCATGGCCCTTTTTAAGTTAACCGAACCTAACGTTTTTATCCATCGTTTACAAAATCAAGAGATTTGTAAATTTGTTTTCGCTTTAATTTTTAATTTTTTATTTTTGTAACATTTTGTTAGATCCCTTTTCGATTCCTTGTGGAATCCAGAGTTTATCATGGGCTACTCCTATCTGCTACCCACATTCCAAAGGTCTCAAACTCTCTTAATTTTTTCATAGTCAAAGTTTTGCCCAAAATAGTGAAATACCTAAATTGCAATGTTTGCACATTTCTAACCATGCTTTGGGAAGGAACAAAATAAAAAAAATATGGTTCTAAAGTTTTAAGTTGAAAGTTTAGTTTACTTCTCAAAGCAAATATAAAGATATATTGTTTTTTGAGTTTTTACATTATTTTCTAAATATAAAAATATCAGATTTTGAAAAATATATATTTTCCTCAGATGTGAACCATTTATTTATTTATTTTTTTAAATTAGGTTAAATATCCCCGGCGGCCTACGAAGGGCTATAATACAAAAATTGTTATATATATCGTCCATCAGTTTTCAAAACTAACCAACACAAATCAATAAAATGATTGGAATTTTCATGATGCTGTTCAGATCTCTAGATTTCCTTAGCGAATAAATAATATTTTTAAGTGCTAGGCTTTTATATGCCAGAAATTTTGCAGCACTAATACTAATATATAAGTTTTCCCATTTACTTGGAAACCATTCCTAATGATGTGAAATGTATTTAATTGTCCACGCTTTTTAAGTGAACCGATCCTAACTTTTTTAATCTACCGGTTACTAAATCAAGAGTTTATTTGACAATTTGGCATGAAGTAAAATTTCGGAAATAATTTATTTACCACACTAATTATTCAATTCAGAACTGTTTATACTGAATTGTTTTTCTAACTTCCTCTTCGCAACCGTTTTTTCTTAACTTAGCTTAACTTTTATTCACCTCGGCTTGCAATTTGACAAGTCGCAAGAAAGGGACTAGCGACCATCCCTTCAATTTATACATTAGAAAATGATTGATTGTTGTCAATAGGAAGCTTCCAAAGAAATTAACACTTCGAGTGTTGAATCGATCCACCGCGCAGCTGTCAAATTCGGGGAATCATATAAATGACATCAAAACAGTAAAAAAAAAAATATATATATAGAATCATTTTTGTCACGCAGCCAAATCGATGACGTCGCAGCAGACGGCGACGTAATCAGTTCCGCTTAGGCAAGTCACAAGTCACAAAAGTCGCAGGATAAGTCGGAACTACACGGCCTATCTAGAGGGCTGATGGCTCGGCTGCTCTGATGATGATGACAGCCGCGTGTGATTGACAGGGATTTATGATTGTTGCCTAAGCAGTTGAAATTTCTGTAAAGTCCTTCACTGAGGAATTTTGAGAGAAAGCGAGGAAAGGGTGGAAGATTCGCAAGCCCAAGTGAATGACCGGGTTGCATTTTGTCTCTACGTGTGAATGGCAGGACAAACACAAACAAACATTTATTCATTCATTCAAATGCTGTGAAAATTGCATATTATGTGGGCAGATAGTACACACTCAACATGTGCAATACAAATTTCATAAAAATACTTTATGTCTCATGTATTTAATTAGAAAAGGAAAATTAAAAAAACTCAATAACATAGTCTTTAAAATATATATGCTTAAGTATAAAGTTAATCTAAAACAAATAAAAAATATTTAGTATAAGAGAACAGCATGGCTCGGATATAAAATATATTTCAATTTAAAATCTAACATTATTTTAGGAATTCTTAAAAATGTTCTTAAGAAATAATAATGAATATATAAGTGAGCAACTCTAAAACTAAGCGGCAATCACAGATTTTTTGAATACTTTCTAGTTAAACATATATTCCGGTCCCCACTGTATTTGCAGTCATCTCTGCTTTTTGGTTCACTCACCTCGGCTTGAGTAAACATTTATTGCGGGCAAATTTATCAATGCGCATTGCATTTCATCTCTAAACGAGATATGGGCACCAGGACGAGGACGCGAGTCCTTTTCAAGATGCTATAAAGGAGCAAGCGAGATGGGGCTATGTGCAGAGGGAGACGGGGCGAAGTGTCTGCTGTGTGTATGAATATTCATGCCTTGTTTATGCATATTTGCGTGTCAAGTGATGCCACCTCCTTCCCAATCCTTCGTCCTTCTTCCTGTGTAATTCCAATTTCTCTGCTCATTGCTCTTATTCAGCGGCTTCTCTGTCGTCTTCTTCTTCTTCTTTCACGTGCAACACGACGTATGCGCAATATTTCCGCTTCTGCTTTTCGGTTTGCTTTTCAAGTTTGTTTACCATTGCACACGAGTTGGTTCAAAAAGTGGAAAATGCGGGGAAAACGATGCCAGCGCTGTGTGAAAAATTTTCTGTTTATGCTCACATTTCATTTGAACGTGAGTTTGTTTGTTTGCCAATTTGAAGTGCTAAAAAGTCGGTGGCTGAAGAGGGCCAAAGGGATGAATTGGACTGGGGGACTTTGATTGCAATTTGTGCTGAGTGTGCGGAAAAGAAATGTCTGAAAGGAGGTTGCGCTCCTGCACTTTCAGCCTGGTAAATGGGCAATGCCACAAGGATGGGATAGGGGATCCCCACGTGGTCAGAAAAGGAGAGGAAAATAAGATAAAATATTTTTCAATGAAATATCATAAGCAACTCTGCCATAAAATGTAAAATAACTAGATTATACATAATCAATTATCATTTATTTTATATGGTTTTTTGATAAGTATTAATAAAATTCTATGAATAATCCGAGCCGGGCCATAGAAACACAATTTCAACGATTTTTCACTGTCTCTTTCACTGATTTCTTCAAAGTGTTCCCTTCTTTGCTTACCCATTTATTACCTTAAAGAAATACCCCCAAACTACCCACTCAAAAAAATGTGTTCACATCAGTATGATTCCACCAGCGTGTCCATGACAATTGCCCAGTCAAAATGGGGCGTAACCGGGCATGTTGCATTGGCCATGCCCCAGACGGATAGTTCGATGATGGAGATCATGATGATGATGGATGCACAAGGAGTCAGTACGGACACGAGCAGAACAAAAGCTATATAGCAATGCCCTTGAGTGATCTATGCAAAGCGAAAGGCGGGGCTCAGGACCCGAGATCGGAGGATCGCTGGTGATCGTGGTTATGCACTTGGTTACAGCCAAATGAAAGGTAGCCGTTGCCAGTAGCTCGCTGGTAGCCGACTAGTCATCAAAACTGGGAAATTAGCATAGACAGTTTCCAAGCCAGCCATTGCCAAAGTGCGTAGAAAATCATGAAAATGGCTACTGGAGTGGCCAACAAGTAAGAGCAAAAGCACGATGCAGATAGATATGCACACAGGAAAAAATGTATTTAAAAATATTTTCTTAAAAAAATATATTATTTTATACAATAAGAGAATGTGTATCTTTTTCTTAGTTCTTAACAATTTTTATTGTTATGTCTGCACAATACTATTTTCAATATATATTAGAATTGTTACCTTAATCTCGTAAAATGCCATTTCAAGTTCCTTTCCACATTTAGATATTACATTTAAGTGCCAGAAAAGTTTTTAGATATTAAAAACGATTGCCAAGTTTATGTCATATATTGAACTGGTTCAGTAAATTTATTTTTGCTCTGTGTAGATGACTTGGCCTAAAAGCCAGCGGCATTAATTTCATACAATTAACGGAAATTATATGAAATTATGAGTGGAACATTGAAATTCCTTGTGAACATCACCCGGGACAACAACAATCCAGACGAAATTCACTGCCCGCCTTCAAACGGAAAACTCATCGCACTAACTTGGGTGGCAATTTCCATTTAGACACAAGCCAAGCCAAATGAAAGAAAATTAAATTTTTCACCGTCTTCTTAATTGAAACATTAGCCAAACATTTTAGCTACTCCCACTCCCCAAACGCTCCACTGCTCTGTTCATTTACATTCAAATTAACTCGTAATGAAAACGAGTCGAGAAACTTTGACTTTGTCTGGTTGTTTTCCGTGGGGGTTGTGGCATTTAATTAGTTGCTCTGATTGTTGCTCCTTCGTTGTCCTGTTGTTGTTTCCCTTGTTTATTACTATTTGCTGGCCATTTCTTCTCGGCTTAGTCAGTTAAATTATCCACGCCCAAGGATCTGTGTTTGTTTTGACACTCGTTTGATGTTCTTTCGCTGCAATTTGATAGCAGTTGGCGATTGAATGGACAATCAAAATTACGGGGTGGTAAACTGACCTTTTGAAAAGCTGTGAAATGGAAAACAATGTCGTCATTGTTGTCACATTGAATAGTTTCGATTTTTAAGGGGTTTGCCAGTTTAAAGGTTTAAAGCTTCGGTCAGCAAAGGGGAAAGTTTTATGGAGTGTTTAAAGTTCTCTAGATTTTATAAGCCATTTTGTTAAAAATTAGTCCCAATTTTAATATTTCTTATCAATAGATAATAGATAGGTTTATAGATCTTTTTGATTATGATACTATGACTTTTTAAACAAGGTTGGTCTGCCAACAAAAAGTATCTTATTAATTTTTGATGATATTTCAGGGTTGTCATTGATACTGCTTTGACTTGCACTTGCCACAACCCGTTCCCACCCACTCCCCAGGAAAAGGCCACACCTCACAGCCCCCCGCCTTTCGTTTTCCCATTACCAATTTCTCTGGGCGCAATGTTGCCGTGGCAAAAAGAAAACAAGAAAACAGCAACACGTGCCCCTTTTAATTAAAATAAATAAATAGGCGCAAACACATAAATAAACAGAACACCGAGCCATAGAATAACTACAATACCAAATAGAGATGATGGAGACGTTCTCAGTTTCTCTGTCAAAAATTCCCTGGGCCTGGTATTCAATTTCATGCATTTATTTGTAAGAGCGGGTTGTGCCCCGGGACACAAAGGAGTTGTGGAAAGGGGTGAGTTCAACCCCCACTAAAAGAACTCACGATTTGGGGCGCCTTGAGCTATGTTATGGCTTTTTTGTACTCTGTATTCTTTGTGAAACGTGCGCATTTGAATTTGAGGCGAATTATTATTTAGTCGCGGCGAGACGCAAAACGTTTCTCGGAATAAAACATTTCCAACAACTTAATTTTTGTATACCGCAATTTGCATGTGGAATAAATCAAATGTAAAACGCATAAAAGACTCAGGAACACCCCCAATTGCACAGACATGAGTTATGGGTTAAGGTGGAGCAGGAACAGTAGCTGTAGCCATTGTCTGGCCAGGATTATGACCATTTATTTGTCCGTCCTGAAAATGGTAAATACTCCTGTGACTGCGGTGGGGCAAAAGTTTCGGCCTAAGGCGATTTTCCTCTGTACAAGAAATCAAAATCAATGAAGATTTCGGCGCACAATGGAGCGATACTAACAGAAAGAGTGGCCGCAATCGTTTGGCTTCCACTTTCTGGATTTTTGGGGACGAGTCCTTGGCTTCCTGAACTTTGCTGGCGCCCTTTCATGGATTATGCATCGCTTAGCTTGAGCAAAACTTTTCAACCAACTCAAATTATTTATTACTAATTGAAAGAGCAGCAGCACTGGCAAGACGAAGAATGACTTTTCCTTGGGTTTTAATTCGATTATTTTTTGGAA